GTCTCCTACAATAGGTTTACATGCATGCAAGGTCAAAACATGCTTTAGTTTTCTCAAAATATGCATTTAATATCACCTCATTTTCCAACGATTCTCACACGATTCATTTGAAGCAGTTCTAAGATTCAGTCTCTCTAAACCGCTACTTTCCATGAGCCTACTCTGCTCTGATTGGTCAGATGGCCCAGTCTGTTGTGATTGGTCTACCGCGTATAGCGGGTGTCAGAAACAATACGCCCATTGCCATAGTTCTGTATTTTGAACGCTCTGTAGAAAATATAAACATACTTACAGATTGTGATTCAGTGGAGCCAGCTGGTCCAAATAAAAATAAACTTGAGCCATCTTTCAAGAGCAAGCGTTTTGTGAATCCCACGTTGAAGACTAGAGAAGCAGTCGTCAGTAAAATGACGGGAACACAAAAACAGATTGGGGTTGTACTGCTGTGGAACAGTGGGAAAAAAAATATTTTAACCACTGATTCTTTGCAGTCTCATCATTCGGAAGTGAAAATAAAACAAATTTACCTTCACAGTGGCTTCTCGACATGATGTTAACCACACAAACAAGCTACAGTGTTTGAGGGCGGGTCAAGTTGATCGCGGCCGGCCAACGTAGAACATAGGTAGGAATTATAGAAATGTGTTACCCAGTGACGTGTAGCCGTCACATAAGTAGGATTCGAATTACTTACGACTCGTTAAAGCTGTACAGAGTCGATTCTTTCTTTTGGGAGACAATAACTTTATTTATCAGGCACTTTTGTCTTTACAGCTTTACAGATCGTTTACACACTGCATGAAAGGCAATATTCGAAATGGCATAATAGGGGCACTTTAAGTTACCATCTTCGTACCCTTTGATTTACATTAAGGGCTTCATTCATTCCTATTTAAAGTTATATTATCTTAGATTTGTATATACTATTATATAATAACTCATATTCATCTTTCTCCCTTTCAGTTGGGTCAGATATTACGGAGTCCCTTTATGAAGTTTGTCGCTCACGCCGTGTCGTTCACCATCTTTCTGGGTCTGCTGGTTCTGAACGCGTCGGATCGATTCGAGGGTGTGAAGAATCTCCCCAATGAGACCATAACAGACCATCCCCGGCAGGTGTTCCGCGTCAAGACCACACAGTTCTCCTGGACCGAGCTCCTCATCATGAAATGGGTTCTGGGTAAGGCCTGGGTCAGGGTTTGTGTGTGTGTGTGTGTGTTATTCTAGTTCTAGTTGGTCTGCACAGGTAATGGAAGGTAAAATTATGCTGATTATAGATGCGTTTCAGTGATGTCTTTCACCACATCTGTATGTGTGTGTTTGTGTGTAGAAAAAAAAATTCATGTTTTATTCTATTTTGAGAGAACGTCATTGTCAAGTGATTTGTTTTTTTATAGTAATTTAATTAAATAGTAATAGTTTTACTAATATTTTACATATTTAGGGTCAGGGATTTGAACAGCCACTGGTACTGCAGATATGAATGATTTCTCAATTCATTCAGTTTACTGAGAGATGTGCTATTACTTTATAATTTTTATAACCTATACTTTTTATTATACTTTTTTTTATCGTTTTATCAGTGTCCATTAGAAGAACTCACAATCTTTGAACAAAAGCAGCCGTAAAATGATGTTTCTTTCATTATGGGCACTTTTGACCTGTGGAGATAACAAATACAATTAAAACACACTGTTCACAATCTCACTAGTATATTTCATTGTTTTATTGACCTAAGAGTTTCCTCCAGTATATATATGGTAGACTTTTACAATCTGCATCTAAGACAAGGGTCAAATGATAACATTTAAACTTCCAACTTATTATATAGAATAAATTGGGGCTTCAGATATAGTTTGTTTGTTTATTTATAGTTTTTATACATTTTTAAGTAATATTTTGAATAATATTTAATATTACTAAATAATATTATATGGTGGATTTTTATATCTTTTTATTTATCTGCGTCTAAGACAAGGGTCAAATGATAGACATTTGAAGTCCCAGTTTATTCATAGTTTGTTTGTTTGTTTGTTCATTCGTTCATTCATTCACTGTTCCTGAAGTCTGAAAAAGGTCTTTAAAAGTCTTAACTCACCCACCAGTCCAGTCTGTGCTGAAACGCTACTGTCAATCAAACTATCGTTGGAGGGGCCTGTCTGTGTGACGTCACACATGCATCTGAGATCGGCTCGATTTGACAAAGGTGAAAACATTTAACCAGATTAAAAAAAAACACTGGGTGTATTTTTATCATTATAGGGTGGTTGTGTACACACACTGCCAACACACATTTCAGTTCAAACAACTTGTAAAAGTGCATGTAGCATCCTATGACCCCTTTAAATCAGAGCAGAAAAAATTCATGAAGTCATGACATTAAATGTTGCATGCATTTCTAAAAAATAATATCTTCTTCAGTATTTTTGTCTTGTTTTACGATACATATATCTTTGTCTAAGTCTTGTTTTCTGAGAAATGTAACAAAATTAAATGAGTTTATGCTTAAAACAAGAACAAATACCTGACAATTGGGTGAAGAAAATAAATAAACTTGTTTTCCCTTTGAATTAAATTGATTTTTCTGAGCCCATTGGCAGATATTTGTTCTCACTTTAATCAAAAACTCAGTTCATTTTGATGAAGTTCAGTTTCTCATAAAACAATACTTCTCATCTTCTTATGTCTTTTTGCTTCTCAAGTAACTGAATCTTGGTTTAAGAATCTTAGACATTTGCTCTGGAAACAAGACTGATGAAGAACAGCAGATTTTTGCGGTGTGATCAGAAGCTACAGTAAAAATAATTTCCATAGTCTGGATTTGAACTTGTTCTCTCTGTCTGTGTGTGTGTGTGTGTGTGTGTGTTTCAGGCATGATCTGGTCGGAGTGTAAGGAGATCTGGACTGACGGGCCGCGTGAGTACGTGATGCACCTGTGGAACGTTCTGGATTTTGGGATGCTGTCGATCTTTGTGGCCTCCTTCACCGCTCGTTTCATGGCGTTCCTCAAGGCGTCTAAAGCTCAGCTCTACGTCGACCTGCACGTCCCCAACCATGACATCAGCAACGCATCACTTCCTGCTGACATTGCCTACTTCACATATGGTGTGTAAATGAATGCAGAACTTCACATGTCTGTCTGAACTCTTGGCCACACCAACATTTAGGTGACTGGAAAAATATGAGAACAATACAGTTGGGAAGATGGGAAAATCTGACGAATCCTGTCAAGAACATATCAAGGTCACATTTCACCTGAAAATCAAATATAAGAATATTATGTTCATTAAAGGTCCTTATATGTTTTTGCAGTGACATTATTTGCATGACGAAAACCACATTTGAATCAGGGTTATTATAGTTAACTAAAGCTATAACTGAAACTCAAATGAAAACCATTAAAACATTTTTGTTACTTGAAATAAAATAAACGTTAACTGAAATAAAATAAAATAAAAAATAAAAAAACGTTTTATTTCAGCTAGTTGTCAAGGCAGCCTTTATCATTTTAATTTAGTTGAACTTGATGTACTAAAATAACTAAAACTAAACTAAAGATGTTACAGTAAATACATATAGACATATAAAAAACTGCTAAAAATGACAAAACCACACAACAAAATTACTAAAACTTTAACTAAAATGAAAATGAAAACATAAAATATTAAAACTGAAACTCATTCACAATATTAATAAAAACTGTAATAGTTTCACAATGATACTAAAATAACAATGATTTGAACAACAAATTATCATTACTTCAATGTATGTATTCTGTGAATACTGAAATACTATTAAAATGATTTTAATTTAATCAACTTTTTATTAATTTATTTTATTTAAATATTACTAAAATGTATTCATTTAAACTATACAGATTTTAATGAATAAATGTATAATGTAAAAATGGTATTATAGTTTTGACTGCCATATATTTAGAATTATTTTAATCATACTGTTATCAATTTTTGCACATTACAGTAATGAGAATTTGAAGAGAAAACATGCTTGCCATAACAAATGTCACAATACAAAAAAGTGAAAACAGTTAAAAAGATGATAGATAGATAGACAGATGGATAGACAGATGGATAGACAGACAGACAGACAGACAGACAGTGTTTCATTCTGATCACCGTCTCCTTCCTTCGTCCTCACTACCCTTGATGGCGGGGTGGCTAGGGGTTACGTAGACATTCCCTAGGTGGAGAGAGTGGTTGCGGTGCACCTGTGCCCGCAAAACACCTCCACTTGGAGGAATCGTCCGTGTCTCCCGTCTGCCTTGCATGCCATGACTATCCTGCAGGTACACCAAGCCAAGGCACTAAAACAAATGTCCAAGTTAGTGGTCCAAGGGAGGCATCTCTGTCTCAACCTGGACGAGAGAAGAGACGTTGACAAAGTGTGCTTTCTTGATGCTCCCATGTCCCAGGCTTGCCTGTTCGGCAACATTGTCGAGGACTTTGCCCAGCAGTTCTCGGTAGTAAAGAAGCAGGCCATTCAGCACATCTTGCCTCGACGTGATCCTCCGGCTCCCACCGTTCCGTCGTGGGCCGTGCCGCAGCCTGTGTCCCCGTCCCCCCAACTTTTAAAATGCTGGCTACGCCTATGGGTTCATGCCCACACTGCGAGTGCATGACCATGGCAACGCTGCGATCATGTCTCTCCGTTCTTAAAGGGAAAGGAGCAGACCCATCCCAGTATCTCTGCCACGAGCAGAGGACCGCCAGCTAGTGCTCTGGAAGATCTGAGGGTTACAGTAAGAGCCTCTCCGCCAGCCTACGCCCCACGGTCCTCTCACTTCTCCCGCAGTGCTTGTCCTGTGCGGCTTCCGGATGATTCCACTGGTCTTTCTCACGGCGATCCCAGTGTTTCATTCTGATCACCGTCTCCTTCCTTCGTCCTCACTACCCTTGATGGCGGGGTGGCTAGGGGTTACGTAGACATTCCCTAGGTGGAGAGAGTGGTTGCGGTGCACCTGTGCCCGCAAAACACCTCCACTTGGAGGAATCGTCCGTGTCTCCCGTCTGCCTTGCATGCCATGACTATCCTGCAGGTACACCAAGCCAAGGCACTAAAACAAATGTCCAAGTTAGTGGTCCAAGAGAGGCATCTCTGTCTCAACCTGGACGAGAGAAGAGACGTTGACAAAGTGTGCTTTCTTGATGCTCCCATGTCCCAGGATTGCCTGTTCGGCAACATTGTCGAGGACTTTGCCCAGCAGTTCTCGGTAGTAAAGAAGCAGGCCATTCAGCACATCTTGCCTCGACGTGATCCTCCGGTTCCCACCGTTCCATCGTGGGCCGTGCCTCAGCCTGCTCATTGCCGTGGGCGCCCTCCTGCGTCCTCCACAGCTCCTCCGTCCCGTGCTGTGACAACATCACGGCAGGTACGTCGAGCTTCACGAAGGAAGGCGCCGCCCCCCGTGTTGCACGGGGCAGCTAAGTCCTCAAGGAAGACGACGAAGCGGCCCTGACACGGGCAACCCGGAGATGTGGGAGACTGCTCTTCAGGAGGTGGCGATGACAACACCACTCCTTCCCCCAGAGGAGGGCCGGGCGGAGAATCTTTTGTTTTCTTTTCTTTCTGTTCCGCCACTGGCTCAACAGCCAGGTAACCACATTCTCAAAGAAAGACCCGCTCTGTCAGTCTCTTCTGGCAGTTGTTCCATCCCTACTCTCAGGTAGGACCTGCCTCAGAGATCCATTCCATATGTAGTACTGCCCCCTGGGTCAGTTCATACAGTATCAGTATCTCCACATGGTACCTCCCTACTGGTAGGATGTGGTCTCCGTAGCAACCTTTTCCTGGAAGGCTCGCTTCCCCATCATTCTGCCAGGCTGAAAGAACAAATAGGAAAGATTTGAAGCAATCTTTCATTGAAGGTTGGAATCCCTTCCAAAAATGTTTGTGGATGGAACAGCAGCATGAGTTTCTCCAGCAGCGATGTACTCACCATTTGGTCCCTCTCGGTACCAAGGTCAATGAATTTGCGCTGGGGCATTGGGAAGGTTACAACCTTTGCCTAGCTTTTGTTTTGATGTACACGATGTTTGTCTTGATGTTGTGCGATGTAATTAATTCAGGAACGTAATGAGAAGCAAGTGTAAAATCAATATCACATTTCAAATAAATAAATAATTGTAAATCATTTAATAATAACAAAAATGTATTATTATTATCATCGTGTTTTTTTCTCTTGCTGGTGAGACTGTTTTTGAACGGTATAAAATTAATGTCACATTTGCAGTCGTGCAGATATTTGGCAAAAACAGCACATTTGCTCGTGTGATATTGCTAAACTATATCATGTAGAAATACAAGACAAAAACTCATAGAGGGGCATTTTGCCTTAATAGATTGAATTTGGGGGTCATTTTAATTGCATTCTTCTAGGCCTCTCTTACGGCCTGTTTTTGTTTGTTTTGAAAGTAAGTGACATACTTGATAATGTCAACTTTTCAGTCGTTAAAACAACAATCACAATACTATTGTAAACAAAACATATCGCAATCTTTTATTACTATGTGTGAGAATAAATGGATGCATTAAAGAGATCTCGCTGGTGTTGGCCAGTAATGTGGCTTCAGCTGTGTGTTTCGCTCTAATTACAATGTGTTGTGTCTGCACTGGTAGTTTTGTTCGCTGTTGGTGGGAAATTAGCATGCTGATTAAAGCGATGCACCGCCAGCTAAAGGCCCGTAACAGCCCATGGAAACCCTGTTAGCGTCGCCATGGTTACGCTCCTCTGTGAGGCCTCTAAATGCAGAGTCGAGGCGGGAGGAGTGATGGCGTCCCATCTACATATCTGGGCCTGTCTGAGGAGGCTTCGATTTTAATGTTTTTAGGACAAAAGTATCATTATTGTGTGTGTGCTGTATTAGAAAAACAAGTTAATTTAATATTTAATTTGTATCTATTGTATTTGTTTCATTATTGTGTGTGTATATATATATATATATATATATATATATATAATATTTTTTTATTATTATCATTGTTGTTTAATTCATTAATAAAGTCTACTTTTAATTATATAAATTTTTATTATAATTGTATTTTTATTATATATTATTATTTACCAAATTTATGTTTGTTTGTTTGTTTTTTTTCTGTTGCTGGAGAGAACACACACACACACACACACATAAGAACAGACATATTTTCTTAATGTTGTGTCTAAGTAAATATGTTGAATTTTATTCTTGACACTTTCATAGTGTAAACATGTTGAAGTCCCTCTAGTGTCAGAGGTGAACTGAGTTCAGTTCCATGTACTGCGTGTTTTGAATAGCGTGTATGTGTTTGAGTGTTCAGTATGATGGTTTGTGGTGTCAGTAGAGGGCAGTGTGGATCTGCTTTCATCTGCAGCTCCTTATAGAACGACATGCAGCATTTCCCAGCGTGCCTTTCCTAAATTCACATGGAGAATGTGGAACTCATTAGTCATGAGACCGTCTAACACTTCTGCACCTCCAACGTACTTAACTAGCCTCAGATGTGGAAGATGGAGGCTTAATGTGGAGCTATGAGAATCTGTAAATAGAGCAAGTGAAATATAGCTTCAGAACATGTCAAAAAATCACAGCAGCTGAAACACTAGAGCAATGCAAAGGTAATGGGTTCGATCCTCAAAGAATGCATGAACTGATCAAATGCAGACTTTAAGTGCAACATAAATCACTTTGGATAAAAGCATCTGCCAAATGCATGAACGCAGATTGTATTTGCTAAAGTCAGACTGACCATTAGATATTTCATTTGCATTTACATTTATGCATTTGGCAGGTGCTTTTATCCAAAGTGACTCTCAGTGCATTAAGACCATACATTTAATCAGTTCATGCATTTTCATATATTTCATCAGTAGATGGACAGACTTTAATAAGTGCTTAAATTATTATGCATGATTCATCAGTGCATGTTGTTCAAGAGGAAATTATATTTGCTTTCTTTATTTGGTTTCATTTGTGAACATTAGTTAACTGCATTAGTTAGCATGAACTAATTTCTACAGCGTTTATTAATGTTAATCTAGGCATTTACTAAAACATTTAACATTAGTTAATGAACTGTGAACTAACATAAACATACACACACACCAAACAGTTTTCACAGAAATAACCCTCTGAAAAAAACTTTTCTGCTGTTAATGCTGATTTTTTTTTTATTTCAAAAGTATATAGTTAGTAGATATTTGATGTTTACCTGTGCTTGTGCCACGAAATGACAGATTCAGCCCTGAATATTTCATACTTTTAATAATTTAGCTGACTTTTAAAACATAAAATAGCAAAACTTTCTTTAAAAAAGTAGTCACTTTAAAATCAAGTACTGCTGTACATTATTTCCCACTGGATACTTAGTTTAACTCAGAAATGTGTCATATTGTGGAAGTTTGTCGTATTGCAAATGTGATTTTTGTGTAATTATCTGACGTGAACTTTTCAAGTTCTGCAGATGTTTTTTTCTGTCCAGGGTTACATTACGTTCACCGCAGGGTCAGTCTGTCCCTGGATTCAGTGTGAATCAGGGAAAATGAATGGCAGACGATTGTTTTGAGGTTCAGCAATGTGGAAGCACTCAGAGGTTTGCTAACAAGCCTTAAAGGTTAAAGCGCTTCTGTGTGTGTGTGTGTGTGCAGTCTCTGTGCGGCTCAGTGTCTCGTGTGTGTGTGATGCAGGTGGATGTGATAATGATCTCTCTTGTGACGGTGTGTGTGTGTGTGTTTAAGTGGACAGTATTGAAGAAGTGCTGGCTAACACTTGATAGACAGCAGCACAGCACAAACTGACCACACAAACACACACTCGCACACTGACACCTGTCAAGGGTGAGAGATGGTTTGCTCTGAAGGTGTCATAATTGGAAAATGGGCTGAAAACACATTCAGGTCTAATTTCACCCAGGAAATCACATATAAAAGATAAAAAGAGATATAGATTTGCAAAAAGAGAATAAAGCCTACTGAGATTCGAAGGGAACATATAAAGATATTTTGACTAGAAACAAGACAAAAATACTAAGTAAGATAAGCCATTTTTTGCAGTGTGGACTGTGCAAATTTTTTTTTCCTTTTTTTTTTTTCGATTACACATGTGGAGCCTATGAAAGCTTATTTCTGCCATGGAATATAAAGGGTAAAGGGTCATTTTTTTATCTCACAATTCTGACTTTTTTTCTTGCAATTGTGAATTTATCTCACGATTCTGATGAATTCTGAATTGCAAGACAAGTCCAACTCACAATTCCAAGAATAGAAGTCCAAATTGTGAGATAAAAAGGTCACAATTACCGTTTTAATGTATTATTCTGTGACAGAAGCAAGCTTGCATAGTAACCAAAGGCCATGTACTTTGTAATTTTTGTTGATCACTGGCATCAGCTACCATGGGGGCACCATCCACATCCAACCCCCACCCACTGGAGAACAATTTCAAGCAAGGGTCCAATTGAATTTCTGCATAGGGGACCCTATTTTTTTTCTATAATGACTCATTGAATCTTAGACAGTATGTTGCCAAGAATGAACAAATTCAACACTTAATGTAAAATGGGTTTCAGGTGAAGGTAACTAAAGTACAAAAAACTAATTTGTGTGTATATATATATATACTGTATATTTATTTATTTATTTATTTATTTATTTAGATAGATAGATAGATAGATAGATCAGTTAATTCCCTTATTAAAATAACAAAAGCAGTCAAAAATGTCAGTTTTAACGAGAAAGAAGTATTCACAATATATAATTTAACTTACAGTCTGCAAAGTAGTGGGAAAATATGTTCAAATGCTTAATTTAATGTCAAAGAACTTTACAAAATAAGCCTTTTTAACAAAATCTGTCATTTTCTGTCGCTGTTTGGAGGTAACAAAACATTTAGGCTCATGTTTGCATTTTCTTCTGTCACTGGCAGGGCCGTTTTAACCATTGGGCTAGGCGGGGCTGAAGCCCCGGGGCCCGAGCAAGGAGGGGGCCCGTGATTGG